GAGCTCATTTGCTGGACTTTTAGGCTCAAGGTCCTATGCAGTATGCTTGCGTACTCGTCCTACTTTTGCGCATCCGCGCGCGCGCGCTCCGCCCGGAGAATGTCTTCACTCTCGAATTCATGAGCGGCTAAGCTGCTTTTAGACCCAAGGACTCATGTTCCCGAGCCAACAGCTCCTGACCCCGCGGGCCCCGGGTAAAACTGGCTGGTCCTCATCATTCTCAGGGCCGCTGGGAATACAACTCGTGCTTCGTTCGTGTTTTCTGGGTGTCAACTCATCCTGTCGAACCCGCAAGTGGCTCTGGCTTCCAAAAAAAAAGGAATCCAACATGGCACCAGCCACACCATGGCACCAGCCACACCAGCCACAATATGGAAATATGTAGAACAAATATGGTTTTTCCATGCCGTTATTTTTTAAAGTGGAAACCAACATGACATGGCTCCTTGGTTTCCATGGGAAAAGACGAGACCCGGCTTGCCGAGCACCCTCAGCCCGAGGCCCGGGCTCCCGGTGGAAGCTGGAGGTCGCCTTCGGCCGGCTTCCGCCCTGGCCGCGCGGGCTTGCGGGGGACTGGTCCCGCCCGAGTTTTGGGGAAAGCGCAGGCCGGGATTCAAGGGGACCTCCCTTCCACGAAAAAAAGGGGGAAAAAGGAAAAACGAAGAAAAAAACACGTAATTTGGGACAACCACTGGAGTACTTGATATCCCAGTGGTTGCATTCCAAAGGGCTCTCAAAATTAAATTCATAGTGAGGATGTTACTTGAATGGACCAGTGCTCCAAAGACCCGATGGCAAGCTGGAAGAAGGCCAGAAAAGAAAAACCAAAGGACCCATGCCATTTTTCTGTCCGGTCATTGTTTTGAGGTTGGGAGCACTTCCGGAAACGACCTTTGAGTATCACCTGCAGGCGTAACTCTCTCGGACGCCTAAGGACAAATTAAGCCAGCGCTCTGCTCATTTGTGCAAACTCGGTCGGCCTTTTATCAACTCGTAGTGAGCATGACAGGTTGTCAATCCGTCGTACTCATTTCATCGGACTTGTGCGTTGGAAGAAATCCGTGTTCCTAGCGTCTCTGTTTGCGGTGTGATGAACGTGACCGCCATCTGACGAACCTTGAAAAACAATGTGGGTGTTGATCAAGGTCCTTTAGGTCCTTTTATGTCCGATGAACCTAGCGTGACCATTAGGGAAAACATCAAAAAAGATGACAATCAGAACCAAATCCCACGGTCATTTTGGGGACAGGAATATTGATCAACCCCATGTGTCAATTTGTCGTCTCACGTTCGTCTGTTGTATCTATGCAAGGCGTGGCCCTCTTACAGTCCTCTTGGAAGGATCCCCCACCAAACCAATTTGGACGGCTAGACCGTTAGCGTCAGCTTCAGCCAAGAAGGGACCCCATCCAAGCATATTGTTGATGAACAAACTGCTGCACCAGTTGGTAGGTGGTTTATCCCTTTCGTCCTGGTGCGAAGTCGTTTTTGTCCATGGCACGTTGTGGGAGGAATCCGGTAGAGCCCTGCACAGGGGATTCTCGGGGTGGATCCCCCATGTCTGTTCTCCGGGTCCAACAAATGCCCCCAAAAAACACGCCACCAATTAAAGTTACCCTTTTCAACCATCAGCTGCTTTCCCCGAGTTTTGGTGGTCCAAAAGAAAGCATAGGGAAAAGTTACCCCAGAGTTCCTCCCCGCTTCCAAACCAAAAAGAAAGCTTCCCGACTTTTGCAGGGAGTTCCTTTCATCTCATTCCCAAAAATGGGTTGCGTGAGCCGATCATCTTTGACCCGCTCCATTAAGGGAGGGGAGCGTGGGGCAAAAAGAAGGGATCAGCCAAAAAAAAGGAGGGCCCCCCCCTGTTTTTTGAAACAAACATCAGGGAAAAAGTTCGTCCGCCCGTCTCCCCTCGCCTGGTTTCGGCGCAGCTTCGGAGCCTTGCCGCCCGCCTGCCAACTTTCCGCAGTGAGGGCCCGAGGCGAATCGCTGGAAATCGAGGACTCGGAAAAAGGATCCGATTGCGCCGTCTTTTTAGTCGACCTACCCAAAATGGATTCGGGCTTTCCCGTGTTTTCCCTTTAAAACAACTGTGAAAGGGGGCACCCCTAAAAAAAGACAGACTCATGCATACCTCGGATTTTGCCCCTCCAAAATCGTATGATTGACCTTGGGATCGGAGATGTAGGGGTTATACATTTGCAGGACCTGAACGCGCCCGTCGCTGATGTGACAAGCAAATGAACCGGGTGAAGGGAAGAGGTTCCGAATCGGAAGCCTTCGGAGTTGCCACTACCAATGAGCAGGTCTGCATGACCTATGACTCAGCTGCCCAAGGACCCAGAAATTAAAGGTTAACATTTTGGGGTGGCTAAAAATGGAGCGACACGGGAGAGCCAAAAGGTCAACATGTCGGCTTTGGGAAAGTGAGATAAACAGCCATCAATGATCCAACTCACTCCCGTCGATGGACGAGTTCCGTCAGATAGATGGGATGGATGCAACCCCATGAATGCTTGAATAAACCACTAACCAAGTGGTGCAGGATTTCGTCCATCCAAACATGAAACAACACATTCAAAATTTATCATGTTGCCAGCCTGTGAGCAATCAATGCCAAGTTACTTTAATTCCCAATGTGGGTCTGTCATTCCTTGGGGGGCCCCCAAAATGGCGGTTCTCCCTGCTAGTGTCCCTTTAAAACCACAAAAAAATGGGTACCCTCAAAAGAAGACAGACTGAAATCCGGGAATGGTCTGCCTTTTCTTCGGGGGCCCCCAAAATGGTGGTTTTCCCTTCGCTGTCCATTTAAATCGACAAAATGAAAATAATTAATATATATATATATATAAATATATTTAGACCCAAATGAGGGAACTGCCCAGTCAAGGACCTTCATACTCCTTCTGCCGCTTCGCGAAACCTGAGGCTGAGGCCTACGGGGGCCTTCCATCGGGTTGCTTGCAACCAGAACCAGCGGAACCCGGATGCACCCCAAATTGGATTGCCGAAAAGGAAAAGAAGGTATACACCCCAAATATACAAGTAACAGGTCAATATTACACGGATTCTACACACATGGAAGCAATCGAAGCGGAAACCGCGAAAAAATGGCCTGCCTCGTCGGGCTTGGCAAGCCGCCGAACCGGAAGATGCATGCGGGCCCAGCTGTCCACCTGAGGCCCCGGCTGGCGAAAAACGAAGTCCCTAGCACAGGTGTCCTTTTAGGGGAAATAGACGGCCCTGGTAGATGATTAAGGCACCAGGTAAGCCAGGAATCGCCAGCTATTGTTCTACCAAAAGAACCAAAAAGGACACCTATGCTCCCTAGTTGAAGTGATTGGGGGCGAAACAATGGTGGCCGGAACAGCCACTACACCAAGCACCCGGAACAAGCACACCACACCAAGCATCCGGAACAACACCACCCCGCAACAGGTTGAAACATAGGGGTGTGGTCTTGAAAGGGAAACCAAAAAGGACAACCACCAGTTTGGGGGTCCCGTCTAGAAACATACCCAAATGCTATCTCTGGTGGTGCTTGTGGCGGCGGTGGGGCTGCTGCACTTAAATCAACACAGCAACTCAAACATAAAACATGGTACCAAATGGCCATGGGTCAAAACCCGACTAATCATGAGTGAACATCCCAATCCCCACTACAATAGACCAAAATGGGTGGTGCACGTACCCCAAAATGGTACCATTGGCTTTGACCCACAGCCAAATGAATGACACGCTGTGGTAGTGTCTGTCACACAAGGTAAAGCAAGCAACAAAACCAGCAGCAAATTCCTATTCAAAGCATTCCCCTAAGAGTGAATCACGCTAGCACAGATTGGGCTCCGACTTCCCCAGTGAATTTACTTGATTTCCCCAGGTCCTGAGAAGCAGCTTCTGGCATGCGCCATGCTGACCCCAATGTCTTGGAACGCTTCCGCTGGTCATCCCCTGCCGGAAATGTCAAGCTTGAGGTCACTTGTACAAGCGGCATGGATGTTGAAGAACATTGGTACGTTTTATCATCCATGCCCTGTTGACAATGTTGATCTCTTTCTACTTGCTGCTCCACTTCCAACCAATGAACAGATATGGTTTTGCTTGGCTTACTGCGTTTCTTCCTATCAGGGCAAACTGTAGTCTACTTTTAGTTTGGGGTGGAGATGCCCACCCAAAAACTCCCAAACCAAACAGTCTGCAGGAATGTCCCATGTCCTCTTGAGGATTCAAGTTTTCGGTTTGGGACTTTGATTCACAGGGTCCGTCGAAAAGAGACGCATCCCTAAGGTTCTCTTAGGAATCAAACCGAGGTGCTCTGGAAGGGTCATATGGGTGTGTCTTGGAACCCCAAATTGGCCGCGTTCCCTAAGCCATCCATCTTGGGGTCCCTCCAAGCCAAGACAGACCCATATCTGGAAGTGACTTGGTCCCTCCAAAGGAAGGCAGACCCATATCTGGAAGTGACTCACCACTTTCATTCGCACGACAAAAGGCGGTAGGTACAAAAAGATATCATTGGTGCTCTTGGCTTGAGGCGATTCGCCTTGCACCAGCGGTTGCATTTGGTTCAGGGAGACATCCTTCCACAGGGCGGTTCTGCTTTGGTGTCCTCTGGGATGGCCTTTGACGCGGGAAACATGTTTCACTCCACGTTTGGTGGGACACCGCTTTCCCAAAGTGACGGACCCCAGAGTTCCTTCAAGAACCACCAATCCAGCTTAGCAACCAAAAGGTGCTGCGCAGGACCCTCTTGTTGAAGCATGGCTCACTTTCACCAACCTCTTTTGGGGTGGCTTTCGCTGGATTCAGCCCTGAATCGGAGAGCACAAAAAATAGACAGAACAACTTTTGCCCAACCCTGAGGACAACCAACGTGCCTCGCAGCTGGTCGGCTCCTCCTCAATCTGCCACTCATCGCCTCCGGTTTGGGGCAGGGGGGGAGGGACTTGCCGAGTTTCCTCAGGGCCTCAACTTTGGGGTCTGAATAGAAAAAGACACATTCCCAGGCTCTCTCGATCCGGGTGGGGGGAAGCAAGTGAGAAACCTAGCACTGTGTTCTGTTCATGTAAGAATGGTCAACGGTAAATCCTTGGTTAATCTACAACTGGTACATGTCCTTCCTTTGGCACCTCAAGCAAATGCGGCTGTCTTTTTTGAGGGTACCTGTGTTTGGTGGTTCCGAAGGGACACCTAGAGGAAAACCGAAGCCATTTTGGCGGGTCCAACCTTAAATTAACAAGACAAGCCATTTTACATCTAAAGCTACACGTCAGAAAACTGGCACAACCCCCCTACCACCCGAAACAAACAAAACGTCGAGTTTAGAGGAATCTCCGGGATCCTTAGTTCGGAGGTTCGTTTGCGGAGGAAAGGAATGACCATGTGATTCCCTTCACTTACCTTTTAGCTCGCCTTGGTGAGTGACACCTTAGAAGCGCGGAGCTTGGTGTTGCCTGCTTTGTATGTCGGCTGTTGGTTGCTCTCTGAGGGGTCGTTTAATTGGAAACCAGGAACCCTTTTGAGGCACACGAGACTCTTTCCTCGCAAGGATCCTTGACGCTGTCAGCCCGTTTCACAAGCCACGCCTAGCTCGCCATCCTCAGCTGGCTCACCGTGGTCGTAAGGTACATAGCACCTGCCACGTGCAAAGGATCCAAACCGCCGCTCCCATCTTGAGGCCCCTGAACAAAAACCATGAGTCCAGTCTTTGTTGCTGTTGACCCCGCCGCAAAAGTTTAACTTTTTAGTGGGTTTAATACACAACCCTTTGATTTCCCAAAAAGTTAAAGTCTAAAGATCCAACCCAATAGCAGTCAAGCAGTAGTGATGGACACCCTTCAAAACCAACAGGAGGTGATAAAACCTATACAAATGGAAGACCCCCTCCCTTGAGGGCACCTCCTCCAGACTCGCCGACCCTAAGGCCGTTTGCCTGGGACACCCGGCATCCGCAGTCGGCTCACCAGCGCTTCGGTAATGGCGGTGGCTGCGAAGGAGAAGGCCTGGAACTTCACCAAAACCCCACGGATGTATATGAAGGTCTCTTTGTCTGGTATCGCAGCAAAACCTAAAACACCACTAGCCACTTGCCCAAAGGGCCCCCTTGAGCCCCGGTGGCCTTTGGTTCCGCGGGAGGGCTGTAGAAACCAACAGTGGAAACCCCCTGCGTTAAAAAATAATAATGAGCGAAACCCTCGGGCACTGGGTGCTTGAGGTTAGGTCTTCTCTCGAGAAATTCCTTATCAAACGCTTCGGCCGGAGAAGGGAGGAATGGAAAGCGGTTGGGACAAGTTTCCCACGTCTGCGAACTTGCCTGTTGTTGCCTATTGGTCTGCCGGGCTTTTTCAATTGGTCAGCAGAGGAAGCCAAACAGTAACTAGTTTGGTGTGGTGCACACGCCCAGTGGCAAATGCATGTGAGCCATCCGGAATCTGCGCTTAGGTAGGGACTTGAGACCAATCTGAGAAGGACCCACCTGAATGGTTGCAGCAGCCATTTTAGTCGAAAAGCGAATTGATCAAATCATCTTCTGGTAACGGGTTTGCCACAGAGACCCTGGAACCAGAGTACACGATTGCCACCCTCACATAGGGAAAGCCAAGAAACATGCAGCAAGAAAACTCACCCCAAAGGAGTGTCGACTTGAAACTGAGAAAAACCCGAGCCCTTGGTCCAATCATTTGATGACATCCCTGAAACGTCCCCACTTCAAACAACTGCTGTCTTTCCACTCGAAGCTGTCAGCTTCCATCAAGAGAAAGCTCAGAACCTCGCTCGCACCCGGAGAAGGAACCAAATCCGTGAATTCGGCCTTCCTCTCGAGGTACTTCTGCCAGAGCAGGGTGCCACCATCTGTCAAGATCCTTGGACGGAAGTGAACTGAAACTGACCCCCAGAGTTGATTAGCCCTCACTAGTCTACTGGTCTGAAAACAAGGCGACAAAGAAATTTTGAAAAAATAACAAGAAGCCAATTGTCTTCCCGGTGAACAAGAATTCAGCGACCTGAAGTAGGTAGGCGACCTGCAAGAAAGAAATGGGGATGACCATTGCGGAAAAGCACGAACAAAATGATATGTCCCACTAAACGGGGAAAAGTTAACCATGATCATTTGGGGGGCCAGGAAATTGATCCACCCCCAAATCCTAGTGACGCCGACCACACCCCTGTGCGAGTCCGAGGTCACTTGCTCGAGTTTTCTGGTAAGCTCACCAGTCACCAAATTCTTCGCGCTGTGGCACATGTAAAGCCAAGCCTTTTGACTTCAGTTCTTGGCCCAACTCCAGAGTACCCAGGTACGCCAAACAACTCAACATATTTCATATGGCTGTGGGTCAAAACCAATGGGATCCCATTTTGGGGTAGGTGCACCACCCATTTTAGTCTATTTTAGTGGGGATTGGGATGTTCACTGGGGGTACGGGCTTTTGACCCATGGCCATATTACAGCCAACCTTAGGTTCTTCTGTTCAGAACTTGATTCATAATTAGCCAACCTTAGGTTGTTATGCTCAGATTATGCATCATATTTGGTCAACCTTAAGTTCCTTTGTTCAGACTTTCAGACTATTTGGCCAACCTCAAGATGCAGCATATAGGAGATCCCGGTGAAGCACTGATCGGTTTATTTCCGAGCTCTCGATCAAGAGCAGGTCTCCCAGGTGAAGCAATGATCTACGAGGCGTGGGATGGATCCGACCCCCAAACAGCGACAACTCTTGCAGGTTGCTTCAGTCTGTCCCATCTTTACATTGAAGGTCTCCTGTCCCATCTTTGGGATCCAGAAAGTGATCCATAATCAATGAACTTTAGAGCTCAAGGGGTTGGGTTCTCTTCCAGTGTTTACCGGCCACCAGTATTTCCTTTGAACACCAGGGACTTCCAAAGCCAAGCAAACTTAACCACCAAAACCGCAAACCGAAAACCACTAATGGGCATGTCGTGTTCTTTGTTCTTTTGAAGGTACCCCTGTCTTGTTGCTTGTTTCGGGGGGCAGGGTGTAGCTTGCCGTCCACGGCGCTGGTCGATGGTCGCAGCCACAGCCTCTTCAGCGCCCCCGAGGCTGCGTCCATACTCCGTCCTCGGAGGTCCGAGGTCTTATGGAGTTCCATTCGGGGGGGGCGTGTGGCCCAAGGAGGGGGGGGTTCCCTAAGGAACGAACCTAGGGAACGAGTCCTAGGAAACCTAAAGAACCTAGAGGAACCTTCAAGGAACCTAAAGGAACCGTAAGGAACCGCGAGGAACCGTAAGGAAACGCAAGGAAACCCCTAATAAAACCCTAACCCTCCGAATGGGATTCCATAAGATGCTTTCGGTTGGATGGGGACCAATAATCACCACAACGATTAACCCTGTTTGCTTTCCCTTTGAAGCCGAAAGGGGCTACCAACTTCAAAACAAGAAGACATCCATGTTTCCATGAGCCGAGAAGGGGGGCGGCTTCCGTTTCCCCAGTTTTGTCCGTTCGGTGTGCACGTGTGTCCTCTTTGGAGTTGGCCCTGGTGAGTATCCCGTGCTTCACGGTCATTGCTTGGAAATGGATACAATGGAATGATAACACTGCGACAACTCTGCGCTTCAATGGCTGAGGTGGTTCTATCTTTTTTGCATAGCCCCTGGCCTTCGCCTAACCCTGGCATTCGCCTAACCCTGGCATTCGCCTAACCCTGGCATTCGCCTAACCCTGGCACAGCCTGGCGTGCACGAAAGGAGACACTAACCGACAAAGGTTTGGGGTGGGTTTAGGGCAGGTTTGGGGTAGTCCGTTTAGGGTAGGTTCAGTGTCTTCAACATCCTCAGCATCACCAGGCTTTGGTTTAGGCTGGGTTTAGGGTGGGTTCCAGGTTGGCTCAGGGTTGGCTTAGGGTTGTCCCAAGTGGGCTTAAACACAACCATGGCCGAAGCCAATTCTAAACCCACCCTAAACTAGCCGTAAACCCACCCGAAACCAACCCCAAGAAGCCCCACCATCAACCAGCACTCAACCATCTACCTCAAGCACAGCCACCCCCAAATTTGCAATAGGCCACCCGGAGACCCTGAGCCAACCTGGAACCCAGCCTGAACCAAAGTTTGGTGATGCTGAGGATGTTGAAACGATGCTGCGGATGCTAAAACGATACCCTAAACGGACTACCCCAAACTTACCCTGAACCCATCTCAAACCTTTGTCCCACCAAGCCGCCAACCAACCAACCAACCAACCAACCAACCAACCAGCCAGCCAGCCAGCCAGCCAGCCAGCCAGCCAGCCAGCCAGCCAGCCAGCCAGCCAGCCAGCCAGCCAGCCAGCCAGCCAGCCAGCCAGCCAGCCAGCCAGCCAGCCAGCCAGCCAGCCAGCCAGCCAGCCAGCCAGCCAGCCAGCCAGCCAGCCAGCCAGCCAGCCACCAGCCACCAACCAACCAACCAACCAACCAACCAACCAACAACCTGCCAGGGTTCGCCCTGTGCCAGGGCTAGGCAAAAAAAACAAATCCTTTCCGGCTTCAATGGATACGGGCAATTATCAAACGTGGTTGCTCCACAGAGCTGGGCTTTCCCCGGTAAAACAAAAAACAAGCGGTTGGTTGCTTGATTGGGTGGTTGCTTCCTTGCTTGCTTGCTTGTTTGATTGATTAGATTCCTTGGCGGTTGATTGGTTGCTTGTTTGCTTGGTTGCTTGCTTGCTTGGTTGCCTGGTTTCTTGCTTGCTTGCGGATTGGTTGGCTGGCTGGTTGGTCGGTTGTTTGGTTGGCTAAACGGCAAACCGAACCCACCCACCCACCCACCAACCAACCAGCCAGTCAGCCAACCAACCAATCCAGCTAGACAGGCAGCCTATCAGAAGACAATACACAGACGGGCACTGAAGGTCTGCAGGCCTCAGGGTCTGAAGCTTCCTCTCTGCCAAGAGTCCAGGAGCCCCAAGGGCTTCTTTCGAAGTCAATGGCCATGGCATCCACGAGCGAAATCCCGCGAGACTTTTCGTCGCGTGCTGAGCTTCGGGTGGCTGGATCTAAGTGCGCAAATCCTCCCTTAAAAAACAACTTGGCTAGGAGGCCCAAAAAATAACGCATGTAAGTTGAGCTTCTGGTTCAACTTCACAGCCCTGGGACACTTTGTGTAACCCAGACTTTGTGTATCGCAGAGGCGGCGCGGGCGCGAACAACTCGCTGCTGCTTCTCATGGGGGCAAAGTGTGTGAAACTTAGAAAAACCAAGTTGGGATTCAAGGAACAGCTTCATTTGGGTGACCCGTTGAATGGGTTTTAACAAATAGATTCTGGATGCAAGCATTCGAAACCCGTCTCTTAGAACGCTTCTAGGGAGTTCAAGACCTGGACATCTTCCAAGTGAACCTGTTGGGACCTTCACTAACAACGGGTAGTAATATGGAGAACGGTCTCCTTTATGAGGTTGGTTCACCCCACCAGAAATCGCCTGTATGGCGTGGGTTCCCCCTGGCCGACTGAATCCAAGTGGTGGGAAGCCGCCGCAGCGCAAGCCAGGAACCCTGACTAGGTCCTCCAGTACAGAGCTTAGAATAAGGCTACCAACTGTTTTCTTGTTTGTCTATTTTAGTAGGGGAACCCTCCCCAAAAAAGGGGTGAGAAAGGGCACTACTGGGGGACCTAGCTGAGAATTGTTGTGGCCCATCAAGCTGGCAGCGAGTCCTTTTCTAGATGGCGTTGGACATCAACTTACATATGGCTACGAATTTAGTGGTTGGAACACCCGCCCAAATGGTTGGACATACATCCCCAAATGATGTCCACCAAGGGGTGCCCGATGAAAAACGCGCATCCTTCTTGAGAAGAGATTCAACCTAAAGAAATGCAGGACCTTCATCTCCCAAATTCAATTGTCTTGAGACCGCCTTCATGCGACTCCCTTTTACTCCAAAAAAAGTTGAAAGCAATCACTCAAATGTTGCTGCAGCCTCCGATCAAACAGGTTGAACAGGGCGTCGAGAAGGAACCGGAGCCCAAATCAATCATTCTATGTCCTCAAGAGTCCAGCCAGGGTGTCAAAGCTCGCGTCCCCTGAAAGACTGCTGGATTGATAAGGAAATCCAAAGGACAACCAGCCACCCAAGGAGGGACTGGCATCATCACTCTACTGGGGTGTTCAAACCACTCCGTTGGTAGGTTGCAACCAAGGCTGTAGGGGGAACCACAACTCTGACTATTGTAAAAATGCAAACCCCCAAACAACCTGAATGACCTTCCCTCGTTTTTCCCCCAAATCCAAATCGGTGAGCTCGCCTTAACATAGGCAGAGAGTAGCGGCGAGAAGGCTGCGCTGAGTGGGTTGAACATCCCCTGCCTTTCGGCAGTTCATCTGGTTCCGGCGCATCATAGCCTCAGTAAGACGACTCCGTATTGGCTACCAATTCGCCCAAATTGCAATTTCTGTGTTTTTCTCTTCTTTGTACTGACAGCGCGGGCACCCTTTTTGCTTTGTAGCTTCAGATGCCACGCAAACGGGAACTTCCTAGTCGGGTTTCCTAATTGAATTTGTTCGTGGCAGGAATAGTTGGTCTTTGATGTGAAAACACATGCGATGCTCCCCCGTGCCATTGAAACTTCTCCCCGCCCCCCCCCTCCCCCCCGCTTGCTGGCCCGTCTGAAACCTTGGTCAAGCCGGCCGTCAAAGCAGGGGTGTACCTCACGTGTCTCGAGCCATGAACAACTGGCAATCACACAACTCTTGCCAATCGGAGTCGGAGTGTCTAGGGCTGACAAAACGCTTGCAGCCTAAATTGCAGCCTAAACGGGTTCTGCAACACTCCCAGCGACTTGTTTCAGGGGAAAAGAACCCTTTTTAGGCTGCGATCATGTTTTTGTGGGTCCCAGACCCACTAGAACTAGTTTGAACAAATGGAGTCACAACTGTACTCTGTTGGACCACTGGCGCGGGCCTCTAGTCTAGAATCCCTACAGGATCCATGTGTGTTCTGTCAAAATTAGTCTGGTATGCTTGGGAGGAACACAGATTCCCTCCAAACAAGGGGACTCACTAATTGTCAATGTTCTTTAGGGAAACTAGTGTTACTTGGGCGGTTTGCCAAGATGGTAAGTGGTTGGCATCCTAGGTCACAAGCTATTTACAACCATGCAAACTGCACATGCGGGACTTATAAGTAGGTTCTAGCCCAGGCGAATCGAACCACGCATTAACTTGGCAAATCGAACACTCAAGTAACCCGAAATGTAAGGCACAACTCCTGGAAACCAGTACAACAAAAGCCAACAACCCTGTAGCCCAACAGCCCAAGAACAACCAAACCCAACCACAAACCAAAACCCCAGCAGCAGAAATGGAACAGATCCGGGCCCGGGTCTGGCCAAGATGAAACGGATCCGGGCCCCGGCATTCAACTCCTGGCGCTTCTGCATGACCTCCCGGTCGAAATGGATGCGCCCGAGAGGGGTACAAATGCCCTCGGTGTGGACCCAGGTTTGACATGCCTTGTTCAGCGAAATTTGGGCATGCTTTCAAGTGGGGATGCTTTGGAGGCGTACTAATTTTGGAGGAGTCCAAATAGTCGTTTGGAACAAATGCACAGATTTAAGCCAAGTTGGGTCAGGAGACTTCAACTGGGGCAGTCCCCGCAAACCACCAACATGGTTGATGCTAGCTGCCAAGCCCCTCATTGCCAAAACCAAACTACAACTCACGAATATCCGGCCTGTCAGCTCCAAACTTAGCTCGGCGAAATCCCACAACTTCGCTTCGAGCAATCCCCACCCTCCACACTCACGAGCTTGCGACCGTTACAACAAATTCCTCCGCATCCTGGAGACTTCGACCCCAAATTCCCATCGGCCGTTTTGGACATTCAGCAAAACCAGACTGGCGGGATACTGGCCGGATACTCGGCAGGATCCACCGGCAAAGGGTACTCAGCGGGATACTCGGCGGGATCCACTGGCGAGCCGCTCTGGCGGGATACTCGGCGGGATCCACTGGCGAGAAGCTCTGGCGGGATTCTGGGTGGGGGCGTGGTGTAGAAGCATCGCAAACGCGGATTCCAACATAAAACCCAACAACCCCTTCCTGTCAGGTGGGGAACAAAGTCTAAGGGTCCAACCCAATAGCAATCAAGAACAAGGGAGGGCCACTCCCGGAGGTTGTCTACACCCTTTGTAGGGAGTCTTTAGCGGGCCAAGCCCGAGCAGGTGGTGGCACTATACTTCTCCAAAGGATTCAGCCGGCACAGTCTATCGCGAAGTACAGGTCAATTCAGGGAGGTCGGACACATTGTGGTCTTCCTCTTGTTTTCCCTTTCAAGCCAACCAAAAAGGGGTGCCCCCAAAGAAGGAACCACCCATTGGATCCCACGACAACGAAGCTTCCTTGAGATCGGCCCACGAAATCGTGACTGGGAATTGAGATGAGCACCTACCCACTGATGGGAATCACGGCTGGGTCATCGTCGAAGAGTCTAGGCGCCTTCCTATAAATCCCACAAGTCAGATCAAGTCAGGTAGGAACCGAATCCCCAAACAAAATCGGGGTGGTCAAATCATGCAGTTGGGATAGATGAAACCAGTTCAACCACCAATCCCAACATGATTTGGTCCAGTGGCCTTCTAAACCTCATGAAACTGGGTGCGAGCAAAAGGCCGATCACCTCTTGCAATGAAAAACCCCGTTGGGTATGTCTGAAAATGGAACCCCTTTATGGTTGGTTTCCTTTCAATCGCCTTGTAAAACCGTAACTAAACCGAGCTCCCAAGCTCCCGAGCTCCCGGCGGAAACCTATGGCGTGTCTTTCTTTTCAGGGCGCCCTGTTTGTTTTTGTGGTTTTAGAGGAAAACCATCTCTCAATTTGGGGGGGTCCTGTGCACGAAGACACACTGGAAAACCAATTTTGGGTTGCCTTACATGGGAAAGGGCACCCCAACTTTACTCAATTCTCAAAAAAAACAAAAACACATAACTTTATTTTCCCCAAAACGGTCCAAACCGAAAAAGGTGTCTAAAAGTCCAGGAACTCAGACCGCGAACTATTTCGTTGGTCCCCCTTCCCCTGAGGTTCAACCCCCACTAAAACAAAGGTTGACCCAATTTTGACGATGACAATCCTTAGGTAAATAATGGCGGTTACATGAACCCCCTTGATGGTGGTTTGCCCCCTTCCTCTCGTTTTCCCCGAGGCGGCGAACCCCCCGCCTCCAAGTCCTCCAGCTCCTTGGAGCTGAGGATCCGCTTGCTGAAGCTCTTCCGGGACAGCCTCTCCCGCCACTCGAACCGAGTCACCGGGAATCGCTCGAAACCGGGGAAGACCCGGTGGCCGGCGCCGTTGGTTTGGTGTAGTCCATTTGTTTACTAAAGGAGGTCTAACACTAGTCCACTTCCCTGGTTTTTATAGCTAACGTTTGTCTTGTGTAGTATTCAGTGATATGTGTTTTTTTTGTCGACGACTTGCCCAGGGTTTGTTGACCTTCAACCCCTTCCCTTTCCCTTTCAGAACTTCCCCTTCCCGTTCATTTCCTTGGTTGTTGCTAACCGATGGGAGCCTTTAAGTCTTTAAGGGGGTTATGGCGGATACCTACTGTTTCACGAGTTGCTCACTGGTCAAATTGACGAAACTTTTTGGGGTTGAAGCAGCCTGACAACACAAGGTTTCAAGTTTGCCAAACGGTTACTGAGCGTGAAACTGGGTGACCGGGAAGAGGGGTCATACCTCACTGCCCTCCACTGCAGGCCATGAAACTCTGATGTCCATGGGGCTACAAGGGCAAAGTATGCTTCTCCCTGGGCTCTGGGTGTGGAAGTCCTTGAAGGTCTTGCTTGCTCACTGGCTGGAGACAAGAACAACATCTGCTAGGTTGATCAACTAAAGGAAAACTCACCACTGGGCAACAAATTGCATTGGATCATGGTCTGCGCTCGATGCGCATGCCCTGCTGAAAGAGCAGTGCGTGCGTGAAGTGTCAAAGACTTCGACCACGACTTGGTGCCTGTTGAAAGGGAACTCGCGTTGAGCCAACCATTTGGAGTTACCTCTTGCCAAGTTCATGAACTTTTGCTTGAGCCCGTTTCGGTGACTTTGCATACCATCCTCTGAACTCAGGGATCTGTCGCAAGGGCTCCATACGTTGCTGACGAAGTGAGGCCTGACCATCTCCTTGGGGCGACCCTCTTAGACGCTGCAATCATGTGACTCCATACTCACCGTGGGTTTATCTTAAAATCAGGGGACCCCAAGATAGATTTCGGTGCTCTTAATGACTTTAGTTCTCTAACAGCAGACGCACCCAAGTAAGCCGCCCCCCCCCCACTGCTGTCGGCAAGACGTTGGCAACAAAGCTTCTTATCCGTCCTGTGTTCCTGTCTGTATCCAGCTGGAAAACCTTAACCCCAACCAAGGGAAAGTGGAAATCCATGGAATAAACGGGCACTCTTGTTGGGGTAGTTGATTTGAAAGGGAGACCCCCCCAAACAAAAAGGACAACACGTGAATCACCCCAATGCCACTACAATTGCACGACATGTTCAACTAAGTTTTGAACTCAGCTGTTCTTTTAATCTTTGAATTTAAGGGGACCCCCGTTCCCCCCTCAAAAAAACAAAGAAAACGGAAAAGGACACCCTATGGAAAAAACACACGGAAGCCGCCCACTGGAAGTTTGGGTCACGCCAGTCCAGTTCTCTGACCGCTGGGCCCCCCTACTGCGTGAGGCGTGACACCACGCTGGCCTCGGAGAACCTGCGCAACAAGCGCCGAGCCGAGCGCCGGACACCTTCGGTGGACGTCTCCCCCCAGGTGACCCACTTCCATTTGGAAAAGACCCCTGGAAAAAATTAGGGGACGATTGGCCCGAAAGCATTTTTCCCAAGCGCTCTTCCAGCCGCGAAGACACCTTTTTACATCGATGCGGCGAGCGTGTCTGCGCGCGGCGATGCTCAATGTGTATGGTCACATGAGAGCTCCGTCTGAAACATTGCAGTGTCTGCGCAAGCTGCATTGTTCCAGGCTGCTGCGCGCAAGTTGCTCTCTGCAAGCTGCTGCACGCAAGTGGCTTGACATCTGTCTTCAAGCTGTTCTGTGCACGTTGCTCTGTGCAAGTTTCTCTCTGCAAGACGCTCGGCGCTTGTATCTGTGCGCAAGATGCTCAGCCTGAGCTGACCTGTGGAGGTGCTCTGCGCACTACGTCTGCGCTTCAGGGTTGCGATTTCCCAGCTGGAGCCGCAAGGAGTACACTCCACGTACTACGGCTTCTTTGCTTGAGCCGGAGCTGCCGCGGACCAGGGCACCCAGGAAAGAATCGAACCCGCAACCGCGCGATTGCGAAAGCAGGTTGATGTGGCAGTCGGGTTGGAGGATGGGCTTGCTGTCTGCCGAGCGCGCAAACCATCGCGAGTAACAAAAACGCACGAGAGCGCTTCGACACGCAGGATCCCCGCAGAGGGTTCGCGGGGACTAAAACGAATTCGCACGGCGCCACAGCCAGAGCGCGTCGACACGCACGATCCCCACAGAGGGTTCATCCGTGCACCGCAAAATCGCAAAAAAAACAACGAGTTTTTGCACCTCGACCACGCCGATCCCCGCAGAGGGTCGCGCGGGCACCGCAAGAATCGCAAAAAACCTCGAGCTCTTGCACCTCGACCACGCCGATCCCCGCGGAGGGTCGCGCGGGCCGAAGCGCTATGCACTTGGCTCTATGCACTTGGCTCTATGCACATGGCTCTATGCACTTGGCTCTATGCGCTCGGGTCTATGCACTCGGCTCTGCGCACTCGGCTCTATGCACTTTCCTCTACGCGCTTGGCTCTGTGCACTTGGCTCCATGCACTTGGCTCTATGCACTCGGCTCTATGCACTTGGCTCTACGCACGGCTCTATGCACTTGGCTCTATGCACTTGGCTGTATGCACTTGGCTCTGTGCACGGCTCTATGCACTTGGCTCCATGCACTTGGCTCTATGCACTCGGCTCTATGCACTCGGCTCTATGCACTCGGCTCTGCGCACTCGGCTCTATGCACTTGGCTGTATGCACTTGGCTCTGTGCACGGCTCTATGCACTTGGCTCCATGCACTTGGCTCTATGCACTCGGCTCTATGTATTCGGCTCTGTGCACTCGGCTCTATGCACTTGGCTCTATGTGCACTTGGCTCTATGCACTTGGCTCTGTGCACTTGGCTCTATGCACTTGGCTCTATGCACTTGGCTCCATGCACTTGGCTCTATGTATTTGACTCTGCGCAAGTGACTCTATGCAAGTTGGTCCGAAAGCTCCGCAGGGAAGAACCCTTCGCGATGCTTTCGGGAAAAATATGTCCAACTCCTTTAAAACAAACAAGGGATTAAAACAACAAAAACATACTCTTGAGCAAATGGAAGCCCAAAGAATACCGTGGATGGGTCCGACAAACTGAGACGCCGCTGTAGCCGCGACACGCTCTGGAACTTCTTATTTGTCTGTTGTGGTAAGGGCAGCGTATACCGCCAAGCTCATTTCGCACCACCGTTCAGAAACCCTGGAATGATATGATTCCCCTGTAAATATCAACAAACAATGGTTTTTCATGGTGAGTGCGTGCAGGATTTCGTCCATCCACAGTATGGGTGTGGGTCTGAATTGGGGAGCCCCAACCATGTGTTGCCCAGGTAAATGGAAGGACCAAAACCTGCGGTGCATATCCAGGTTTAATTTTGACCCATACCCAGAGGGCATTGTTTGAGGCCTGTGAAGGAAGTGCTCTTTGATTCAACTTGTGTTAAGGTGGTGAGGGGCCGAAGATGGTCCTTGGGGTTCTACATATGGTCGTGGCTCAAAAAACCGGTACCAAAATGGAACCTGGTAGGTGGAAACATGGACCAAAACCTGCGGCTTGCCCCACACCCATCTACATTTTCGGAGCCATGCTACTGGGGTGTTGAGTTGATCATCCCCACATGTTTGTTCCAAGTAATAAGCCAATTTCAGTCATGCTTCAAACATTGTTGGGCTGTCCTCTGAAAAAACTGACTTTTCGTAGGCTAAATGGAAACCCCCAGCAAAGCGGGCGACAGCAACGGATCCCGCCCGTTGATCAGTCCACAGACCCATCCGAATCCCGGAAAACCCTGGCAGGAACCGGCGAAGCGAAGCCGGCGAACCGGCGCACACGCTGAAGTTGGCAGAGCACACCGAAGCGCTGAGATCATCATCCTCCAAGCGCTTCTCCTCAGTCGGGGGCGGAGAAGCCCCTTCCCACTATCTCCCACTAACATATATATATATATATATATATGTGTGTCTGGGTTTTGGGCATACGTTGTGTCGGCTCAAATGGAAACCAAAATCAAACCGCAATTCCCACATGGGACCTCACAGGCCAACTGGGCAAGAAGTCTCAGATCAACTGGGCAAATGAAATGAAGAAACAAAGAGCCCGTGTTTGTTTTAGGGACCCCCTTCCAAAAGAAGAAGGCTTCGGTGTTCCTTTTGGTCTCCCTCTAAAGCAACTTATTAAACAAGCAACAAAAGACACCCAGAAGCACGTGCAGGATCCTTCTAAATGCGTAGTCTTCCCACAATTCAGACCAGAATTCAGACACAGCGAAGAACTGTACTATGACTTCAGGGCAAGCAGGACGCGGCGGTTTGGCGCCTTTGGGGCAATTTGCCCTGCCATCTCAGGTTTTTGATCGCCGCTTGAGCGGCGACTACACGGTTGTCGGCAACCGTGTTAAGGAACCATCCGGCCTCTGTACATTCGGCCTGGTCCAAAATCATTCGCGACCTGGCCGCGGAAACATAGAGGCTTTACAGAAGCAGCATGCGCCTCTCTTGCTCTCCAAGCAGTTCGCCTCGATGCACGCTTCTCGTAAAGCACCTCCAGCGGAGGGCGCGTTGCGCGCCCTCCAAAACTCTTTAAAACAAAACCTATGCCTCGCAGGCACTGTACAAATCTACCCGGCCAGAGAGTCACACTTCGAAGGGAACGAAGGAAAGCCAAAGATAAGTTGAACACCCGACACACGGCATTTGCTAGTCTATTGCTTGTTCACTAGCCTTCATCAAAGCGACTTTGGATTACCGGCCTGATACTGTTTCCTTGTGAGATGGGTGAAATGCCAGTTGAGTTTTGACACGGTTGAAGCATGCAGTTGAATTAAACATGACTGAGATGGCCGTAAACAAAGGCTCCAACCAGAGGTACGGCCACTAGATAAAGCTGTCTGGTGTGTACTGTACCTAACGGTAGAGGCTATGACATACCGGGTGTCCCGGGACGGGGAAGGCATTCAGCGCCTGTCTGTGCACATCCTGTAGGAAACTCCCTTCCCCGCCTCAACCCGAAAGAGCGCAGCAAGCAGAAACACGCAATTTAATACTTTGGATTCCCTCTAACCCAACATAGCACACACTAGAAGAGTAACACACCCGATTGAACATCATGCTCATTCTATTCTCCATGTTGTGCTCTCTGTGGCTCCCCAACCGGCACCTCTGCATCACATCTTCAGGTTGGAAATGTCTATTGCTCGTTCTGCCTGGCAAAAGAGGCCCGCATGTACCGAGGGGCGGATGAACACGTGGGATTAATATTGGGGCTGAACAATTATTACAACCCCTCCCACTAACATGGCACCTAACACTTCCCTTAAGGAGGAAGCAGGAAACTTGTCTTCGAGGTACCCTCCCACAAATGCTATGTTAGGAACGAAGGGTAATGTCTCTTGATCCTGACTCAATTGAATTTGATGTAGCCCACCACCCATTCAAGAGTAGGTCCTCAGGAGGATAGAATAAGGGTACCAACATTTTTCTGTTTTGTCTATTTTAGAAGGGGAACCCTCCCCCAAAAAAGAAACGGCAAAAGGGCACTACCGGGGGACCTAAAAACGATTTAGGCCGCCCAAAAATTATCCTCCTGCTTCTGTGCCCCGTTTGATCATTCTTGGGCATCAGCTGAAGCGCTCTCCGTGGTCCAAAAATTCCCTCAGTCCAACAATGGAAGCGGAAGATCAAAAAGCCAATCCAAGTCGGACCAATTCACGAGCCGATGTTTGTAAGCTTATGGTCCGGTTTTGAGGGCCCCTACTTCTTTGGTGGGTTTGAGTGGGAAGCCAAGGGAAGCCACCATTCTGGGGAGGTCCCTTTCAAAAAAAAGATGCCCGTAAAGCAGGCATCCCTTCGGTCCCAAGAATTTGGTCCCCGGATCCGGTTCCAGACCCCAAGACCCAACCAGAACTTGTCCTCTTGTCTTTGGGGTCTCCGACTTGCGCAAGGGAAGATTCACTTGCTTCGTGTTGGCTAAGGGAAAAGACTCCCCACAAAAACAACGAGTCACTGGACAACTCTGCCAAACCCTCCCGTCTCAAATTCGGATGAACCCACGGAACCATATCAATCCCCCCCCCCAGCATAACTAAAACCTGCACTGGAGGGCGAACCACCGCTGATTCGTGCAGTCCTGCGAATTCATAGCTTCCCGCTAGGGTTTCCGACTTGCAGGGTCCTCTGGGTCCCTGGTTTGAGGTGCCGAATGAAAGTATCGTTTTTGGGCTCGACATTCTCAGATCCTCGGAAAAGAAAGGACAGCTACCTGGGCTTTCCTTGGCTAAATTTGCACTAATTGTTGAACACCTAAAACCAGGGGACAGCTGGGAGCCCCATAGCTACTTCCATTTGGTTAAGACCCCTGCAAAAAAAGAAAACAGCATATCTCCAGTAGTGATAAGTTCCTTTTAAAACCAACAAGGGAAAATAAACCATATTCTGAAGCAAATTAAATTGGAAGCCTACGGTCCAGTCAGTCTCGAGAGACCGCCTCTCCCCAGGGGTGATCTGAAAGTCCCAGTCTTCCACGCCGTCCCGCAGGGCACGGTCCACCGCGACCTCCGGATGGAAACCGACAAGGGAACATGGGTCAAAATTAATCCACCAGGAGACGGCAGGTGTTAGTCTTTGGTTCCATTTAGGGTCCCATTTTGGGTACCTATTCTTGACCCACAGCCATGGGGCGTGGTGTTGGCCGTGGTGTTGGCCGGCAATCCGGGTCCCCGAAAATCCCCAAACTAACACAAGAGACCAGACATCTGGTCAATTTCTGTGACAAAAACGGACCGTCCATGCAACAACCCTCCAATTTTTGAACAAACCGTGCATACCCGCACTCTCCCGCCAGCTTTTATAGGGGTTCCAGGATCTTGCTATGTTGTTGAGCTTCGACTAGAAGGATCCATGCAATCAGAAGTCAAGCAAAGGAGCCAAGAGGACGTTTGAAGCACCAGAAATACCACGCATGGAATCCGTGACGCTTGCTATTTGGAGGTTTAGGGGACCCCTCCGAAATCTTGGATTTCCTTAGTGGTTTTGCTGTTGGGGTTCTCTCTAAACGCGCCAAGAATGGGTACCCTCGAAGAAAGACAGACCAACGTGCTGTAAACAAACCTGCGGGCTTTGCAATGAAAAGCAAAGCAGCACATTGTTGTTCCAAGCAGTTTAAGCTTTGAAGAATCAAACGGGCCATGAGTGTTAAGAGTGATGCAGCCCAGTTGGCAGAGCATATTCTCACAACTGGCACAAGTCACGTCCAATGATGCAGCATTCCATGGCTGGCATCTCTGATGCAAGAGAGTCTTTGCCCACACAGTAATACATGAAAAGTACTAATCAAGGAAAGCCTCTTTGCACATGCTGAAATGCATCGAGCCGAAGATCAACATATTTCTCGAGTGCCTGGCTCTGGTAACAAGCGAACGAATCCAAATCGAACCTTTCCGAAGCCGCCATGCCCTCAAGGCTTCGCACTATAGAACTATTCCTAGATGACCACTGGGTGCTAAATATGAGGTCAAGAAATCACCATAATTATCTTTTTCTGGCTGGTGCATGGAACCTTCTGTTGGCTCGCTTTTTAGTGGGGGAAAAATAACCCCGGCTCATTTGCCCGTATTCAAAATAAAACGCCAGTTTTATGTTGCCTTATGTTGCCTTGACAAACAAAATTTGCGCATGGGCCGGCTCCGACACCCGTGGTTGCGTGGTTCGAAAGCTCTTGAGGCACCGGCGGTGCTGCCGGGCGGGAGCTTGTCTTCCAAGACCCTGGGCGAAAGCTGAGGTTCTCGCTCCCCGTCTCCTGGGCCCTGGACATTCCAAAGGCGCCCTGCCCGTTGCCCGGCCGAAAGGGACAACGGGGACCGGTGGCAAAACACAAAAAACTCAAGGGCATGAACGGTCGACCTTCCAAATGTCGACCCAAAGCCATTTTGGTGATCGCGTCAAGTTTCGGGGCCACACTGCTATTAGTGTCCCTTAAAAGCATCAGCCCGAAGGGAACTCAGATTCCCGTTCAAACCACAAAGGCAGGCACCGAGCCTCAAAAAAGGAGCCGCCCATGGCTATACCAAAGGAGACCTGCCCCAAGACGCATCCAGCCCCAACAAACGTTGACATCCAGGGCGCAGGGTGCTGAGTCGGGTGACCAAGTGCCGCTCCAAGAACCGCTTCAGAGGCCTCGCGCCCAGCTCCGGGTCGAAGGCCTCCTGAACCCCCCGCACCGAGAGACTCAGATGCGGTGCCCCGGGACGTGGCAACCCTTTTGGGGCCAGGACTAAAAGTGGACAAACGGGAAACTAAAAGGTCCCAAAAAAGTCCATCGCTTTGGGCAAGCGCTTTGGAGATGGATGCGTTCTTGTTTGAGGAAACCAGCCCGCGATACAATGATGTTCCTTTCGGTTATCCTTAATTTGAAGCCACCAAGAAGGAGTACATTCCCTCAAAAGCCAAGAGTTCAAAATCCGAATCCAAAAACCACCACCAACTGAAGGTAGAACTACAGGTTTCGGCGTAAACCCCATGAAGCCAGGTCAATTGGCAAATGTGGTCTTGGGCGCCGTGTTCGTTCTTGTCTGATTTCTTTGAAGGGGAGCGACTCCAGGGTAGTTCCAATCTTTACCCATAGACTCTAGCTTGGGTCGCCTGATCATTGTTTCACAGACCAATAGTGGATGATGATAGACTTTAGCTGACTCAACAAAACAAACTTCCAAGTACACTGGTACTACAATCACCGTCGGTGGTTGCGGGAGGGCAATCCAACTGACTCAAACCATAAACCACAGATAACTGGGGCTTGTCATTGCACCCGATGGTCTCGAATTCTCAGTTGAGCCTCGAGGGCCGCAACCACTCCCAACCTCCAACCATCCACTCTTTGACACCCTCCAGAAGTCACCCCCCACAACAAAAAAAACCAACCAAAGCCTCAAACATCCCTGATCATGACCATTTCAAAGGCACATCCAGTGGATGTGCAACGACCAGGGTACCACCCCATCCCGCGCATGCTGGGGTCCTATGCACACCAGTGCTCAAACCCATCAGGATGTCTCCCTAGAAAGGCTCTCTATGTGCGCATCAGCGAACAACACAAATACTCAGTTTGTCCCAAAAGGGACCCACACATGAAAGGTTAGCCTTTTGGGGGCCACTGAAAATGGACCAAAAAGCTCGGCTTTGGGCAAGTGAGTATGGCACAGCTCTGTCCCAAGCATGGCGCATCGCGTCGCAATCCGTCTCTTGATGAACCGTACTGAGGCACATCATCATTTGACATTATCTCGATTGAATTACGCATCCTGCCGTGATAGGAGGATACGTGATGATTGTTTATGATTACTCACTTCTATGCTACATATACAATGTATCCTTCCGTGATTTCTTCCAATGGTCCGGTTGAACGTTGCTGCCGTTGCTCTCTCTCATGCTCCTATCCTAACCATTTTCACTTTGGTTCTACCAGGGGCTTACAGAGATTCATACTTCTAGGCTTTGCTGCCATCTCCGTTTACGAGGGGAATTAGAACCACTTACCGGAATAGCCCAGACAAAATGACTTGCTTTCCCAAGAGGACATGGGCCATTTTTGGTGGGCCTCTTGGGTTTCGCGGGAAATCTGGGTGGCCCCCCTCCCTTCCAAACTAACCCTGGACGAACTCAGTTGCCCAAAGAACCTAGGAACTGGAAGGTCAACCCTTTGGGACCTTTACTACACGTGGACCAAAAGGGGAAAACTTCTTGTTCAAAACTCTGAGCCGGGTTTGTTTTCCACGTTCTCTGGCCCTAGCGAGTCCTTGAGGACGTAGCTCACCGCAGCGTCCGTGACAGTCAAGGACACCTGCGGGAAGCAAGCCGTTCGTCGTTCGACCCCACCTGTTGGTCCTCATATACTATTAACCTTCAAACATCTTCGGACCCCTGGAATGCCAAGCTCGCAGCAGAAAACAAAGAGGCCAAACCCCACCAAATTTGGTCCAAAAGATGTTTCACCTGGCTTGAAAGGGAAATATGGGGATGACTGACACTGGGTAGCCCCAAACCGCGAAACGCCTGAAGGCACGCCTCCAACTCATCCAGTCTGGCGAGAACGTCCTTGAGCTGCAGGCGCACTACCTGCCGAAGGGGGAGCTTCAGATATCCATTGGATTTGCCTCCAAATTGGCAGAACCCCCCAAAGCAGAACCCCTCTTGGTTTCCCCTAACCAACCAAAATGGGGGTCTCTGAAACAGACACGCCCACATCCATGTGGCTTACTGTTGGAAAACGACACGCTCCCAACCACTCGCATGGAGCCGAACGGGAGGTTAGACGATTTCCTCAGAGTGCCACGCGGGAAGGGTACCACCTAGAGCCATCAGCCGGGTGTCCAAACTATGAGGCCCAAAACAAAGAAACCTGTGTTTCTCAAAGGAACCACTCCATTTCCGGACAAAGGTTTGATCTCATTTGGGTTTTGTAAGAACAACCAAACAAAACAACTCGCAAGTGGGTTTTGGAGTTGCGGTTCTTTGTAGTCTTGGAGTTCCCCTTTACTACCATGTCCTTCCAGAACTCCTGGTCGCTCCTTAGCTCCCTCCTAAAACTCCTGGTAGCTCCTTAGCTCCCTCTGAAAATTGCAAGTTTGGATACCTCCAGCTCCTTCCAATCACAAGCTCCTCTAGATATGTGTTGGGGAATCCTTCAAATCCATTCTGCGAAACTCCCAAAGCTTTCGTATCCGTCAGCCACCTCGCCCGGCGAGATAGCCGGCCTGCTGGAGGACTTTTCGGCTCAAGGGGTGGAACACCACGATGTCGTCCAGGCGATTCAGCAGCTCCGGCCTCCCGAAGCGAAACCCAGTGGCAACATGGGTACAATTCGATGTTCGTAGCGCTTCCTTGATCTCACTCGCCCCTTAGGGACGATGACATTACAGGTTCACCTTTTGGGACCATGACCAAAAATGGACCAACCAAAATGGCCAAAGGTTGATCTCAGCCCCTGAGTCACCCAGAAATACCAGGCATTACCAGGCGATCACCTTCCGGGGCCACTAAAAACGGGAACCCACAACGGGAGAACCAGATCCTGTCGATTGATCCGGTGGATTCGTGTTGGGCCTTTCTGAGTGATCCATCATGATCCTCGGGCCCAGAACACCTCTCCAGCCAAGTCAGATCTGGGCTCGTCGTGGTCCAGCCGGCTGCAAAAAGGATCACGGGTCAAAATCCAAATCGTACCCCCAGTGAACATCCCAATCTCCATAGACTAAAATGGGTGGTGCACCTACCCCAAAATGGTGCTATTGGTTTATGTTGCAACAGGTGGTTGAGACAACCCTGACCTGCCCCACTCCTTCCTGTGCTTGAGGGATGCAAGGATGCCGCGGATAAATTGAACATGACTTTCATGATGACGCACTTAGTGCACAGACTTACTTCGGATTGTTCTTCGTGCGTCCCACGAGTTGAGATTTGCAGGGCGTCCTCGAACTCCTCTTTTTCGGAAGCGAGGCAGCGGACTCTTCAAATAACCCCGCCCCTTCCTTCTGATGGTCAAAGCACAATTCGGATGAGCACAGGACAAGACACTTGTTTCCCCAGGACGTGGCCTGAAAACTTGGTGTGTGTGTGTGTGTGTTTCAAGTTCAGGTGGGCCTCCGTTCTCGTCCTCCCCAAACTAACAACAGACTACCACTGATTTGTCAGTTGCTTCACTTCTGTCCACCTGGGTGGAGTTAAAGGGGGAAGTCAGACCCCAATTTGTCCAATATGCAAACCAAACTTCAAAATTGACCCTCCATTTGCCTAAGTCACTTGCAAGAAAGAACAAAACACGTCCAGTAGTAATAGAGTTTCTCTTTAACAATCAACAAGGAACAGTATAAACAACATGGAAGTGACAGGGGAGGTTGGTTTCTCTTCCCAGCCTCAGACTAGCCCGGATCACCTGGAGCACCATGCCCTTCGCCTTTTCCATCTCCTCCGTCCTGACGTCAGACATCTCGAGCGACATTGAGCGAGGCGCGATGCGAATCGCGGCCAAAGGATGCACAACACCTCACCGATCCCCCCCCCCCACCCCCCCCTCCAAAGATAACAACACAACAGCCTCTTCCCAGATTGGCACGGAACCTGAAAGACGGCCCTGCAAAACGAGATTCTGAAAGCAACAGCTTCTTTTGTTTCCATGCGAATCACGTAAAGTTTCCTATCAGCTTAGTCGCCGACTGCAAAAAACCTTCAGGGCAAGCATCATCAAACAAAAGGAGACAAGCTTCAACGCTTGCGTTTTGTTCCGGTGGTTTCCACGGAAGCTGCAACACTTTTGGAGGCGCCAAAAAAGGGGACATGTCTTGGGGCTTCCGAGCAAATTGGATCGACCAAAGGCTGCGGGACCGAACATCCAGGAAGCCGAGGGACTTCCAATGGCTCGTCTTTGGGAATCGGATTTTCAGGTAGGAAAAAGAGACAGACATGGGAATGAAGTTCAAGTAGCGCTTTGGTGGACATCATTTAGGCGGGGAATTCATTCATGCCCACCAGCCACTTTGAGGGGAAACCCCCTAAGATTCATAGCCAACTCAGATTAAAGGGCTTTCCAGAAATCAGCAGTGGACGCCCAAAGAACTTGAGCGAGGCGGGGAGCTTTCAGCATCGCAGCAAGGCAAAAGGGATCGAGTAACTTGCGGACAGCTAGTTTGCACGAAGGACAATTTGAGATGTCAGTGGAGCAACCCAAAACCCAAGCACAAATGAATGAAGCGATCTGCAGGGCTCTGCGGCCAACAGAAACTATCCCTCCCGCCATCGCAGGGCAGCCTCCGACCCAAAACACTTTTTGTGTTTTGCCAACCGATCTTTCATTTAGAAGAGAATCGCTTCTACCATTTTTCTTGCCGTAAGCACACCCAGAACTGGCTGGAGTTTGATATCAAACAATGGGCTGTCTAAAACCGAACCGAACATGTTCGGGGCTTTGGATTTGAAGCTTCCAGGGGGGAATTGAATTGCGAATCACGGGCATGACAACTCCAGCGCTTTCTGAAAATGGCAGGTTTCCTGCTGGTTTCCCTTGCAACGACTAAAAGGTCCCCAACTCCGACCCCACCACAAATGATCAATTCGCGCAAAGAACCATGTTCTTGGTCCAAGTGTTTCTCCCAAAGCGGCAAAACGGCCAGGCAGAACCCCCCCCACCCACCCCTCCGAACCCCGGGCCCCGCGCGTATGGCGCATCAGGTGCTCGGAGCCGAGGTTGGAGGTCATGATCACCACGCAGTTGCTGCAGTCCACGGTCCTCGTTGACGTTGGAAGGGGAGCAAAATTTTCAATTTTAGCAGCCAAGTGGTTGGATTTCAAGCCCTAAACCACAATAAGCAAAAATGCAAAATGCTTCCCAACAACCATGAAGTCTTGGAGCCATGAGAAAAAATGGGCCCACCATGACACCAGAAGGTGAAAAGATCGTTTCGTTTTGGACAACTGAGCGTGGGAACGCTGGACCCAAGTACAACGCCTGGTTGATTTTGAGAGATCGGGGTGTCCCCTCTGTAGTGGGGACTCAGACTACTTTTGGATGGGCCCCAAACGCCCATAAAATACATCAGGTTTTTTAAACATTCTGTGGCTGGCTGTGATATTTCATGGCCCATAAAGTGGTCGATAAACGCAAATCCCAATGGGGGTGAATCGGAACCCCCAAAATGGCGCAACGGTTATCCTCTTGATGTCCCTTTAAACCACAAAAAAGGGGTCCCTCAAAGGAAACAAGCCCAGTAAGGGGAACAAATATAGGAACACACAACAGGTGCTCATGCAGGTGATGTTTAGCAGCGGAGCCTTGGTGAAGATCATTTCGCCGGGGATTCATGTCCATCACTACCTTTGAGGTGGTTCCCTATTCTCTTTTAAAAACTCACAGCCATACTAACCTCTGTTGCCCAAAGGACCCAGAAATAAAAGGTTCACCTTTTGGGGCCATGACTAAAAGTAGACCAAAAAGAGGACACCAAAAGGTCCAAAGGTGGGCTTTGGGCTTTGGGCAAGTGAGAAACACTTACAAAACGAGGGTCGTATCCTGACCCCAGACACATCTCTGACGCCCGAACCTCCTTAGCTCGAGCAAAGTGACGGAAGACTCAACTCGACTAACTCGAGAGCGCCGCTCCGCCAGCCCCGTTCCGAAACGACCCCCACAGACAAATGACCTTCATAAAAAAAGAAAAACTGCGACCTCGTGAGACGCGATGAGGTCTGTCATGCGGTGTCGAAGGTAGCCAAATGATACCACCCGGGATACACAACAGCTCAACATGGGGTGAGTCGCTACCCTGGCTGAGCATGCTTTCGAAAGCGATATGGTAGCTAAATCCTTAACAACCCGCAGCAACTCGCAAGAAGTTTGCGGTTGAGTTTTTCTCCAACACGCAGTTTTGTTTTTGTCCATCTCGAGTCAACCTGAAAAAAACGAAAGTATGGAAAACGAGATCCCCGACAAATCGCCACACCTATCCAGAACATATTGGAAAAACACATCCTTTCACCCTCGCTTAAGCCGCAAGTCAATAAACGTCCCATCGCGCTCCCAAAGTATTGAGACACAACTGCAAAAACTCGCCCAAAGGACCCAGCAACAAATGGCCCGTGAACCTGTTACCTCGCTTAAACCAACTATGAACCAAATCCGGAATCGTGGTCTGTCAGCAACTTGCTCATGGTAAGCACATGTATATTGAACCGATCCCCTAACGGTGCATAGAAACCAAACCGTTCCGGGCCTCTGCAACTCAGCCCAGCAAACTTAAGGACCCCAAAGGACCCACTGGATGACTGCTGCCAAGTTAAGTTGTTGGTGACCCAGGATGATATAGCCCGCGTGTACGTTTTCCGTGGGGTTAACCTTGCTAGCAGCGGGTGGAAAACCCCAAGCGGCGATCCCCTGGCGATCCCCGCTTGCTAACTCGGCGAATCGAACATCCAAGTGATTTTCTTCTGGAAAGCGAGACTGTGGACTTCCAGTAGGGTAGCCCAGTTGAACCTGGGGTAGCCCAGTTGAACCTGGCCTAGGTCCTCCAGATTTGCGAGGTTAGACTAAGGGTACCAACTTTGTTTCTGTCTATTTTGCTAGGGGAACAGACTCTCCCAACCAAAAAAGCATAAAACAGCGTAGAGAAGGGCACTACTGGGGGACCTAGTGGCACTCAAATGTTCTACCCAAAACCACGTAAATAGAGTAAAAGGGCGGGTTCCCGCGCCCATTTATGGCAAGGGGACCGTCCCTCACTTCGGGTGTTCAGTTGGCTCTCCTGCCATGGCTGTCGGTGATGCGGCCATCGTCCAGCAGCTGCAAGAGCACGTTCAGCACGTTGGGGTGCGCCTTCCTGGGCCGTAAAACCCCCCCCACTTGAGATGCTCAGTTTCTTCCATTTGCTTGTTCGCCCCCTGGGAAAAATGAAAATATGTCGAGTAGTGATCGATTTCTTTTACAACCAAAAGGGGAAATGAAAACATATTCTTGAACAAATGGAAGGTTTTTGTGATGGCTATGGATTTTTAGAGACGATGTCCACCAAATATTCCCCCATTAACATTCACAGCCATCGTTTGAAGTTGCAAAAGGCTTGCTTTCTGCGCTTTCATGTTTGTCATACCCAACCAAGGGCCAACCAAATCCCCAGCTACTTTTCCGTCATATTCTTTTAGCGTCCCCTGCCCAAAGATGTCAAATAACTACATATTCACCAGTCATAGCCATGTCCATCAAAATCACAGAATGAATCAAGGGAAGGAATATCTCACTCCGCGGGGAAACCCTGGTCCCACTTCCGCCTCTTTCTTTCTCCTTTTCTTTCTCATTTTCTTTCTTCCTTTCCCTCTCCTTTCTCTCATTGTGCTGTTTCCACTGCCACTTTGTTAAGCAATTTGTCTGCATGTGCCTTAATCCGTTTGTCTTATTGGACTCAGCTCTGCTGACTTCTCTTGTGTGTGGCTCGACCGAAACTCTCCAGCATTCTCCGTTTGACGCAAACAAGAACGTCTGCAGGAATCAAAGAGTCCCCCTGCAGACACACGGGGTTAACTCCTTTGCTGCAGATCATGTCTGAGATTCCACGTGTTGTTCTGGCCAAACCTCTAAATTCTTATGGGTCGAGAGTCGAAAGTCTCGCATCAAAACAGGTCCTCGGACCAGAAGGACACGTTCTTCACCGCAGGAAGGTGATGCAAGACGGTACGAACAGCGAGTCGCACCCAATCAGGGTCAGGAAAATGACGGAATGCCCCTTGAACAGGTTTCTACACCACCCCCGATCATAAAACTCATGGTTTCTTGGTCTAGGAGACCCTTCTAAATCTCATGTTTTTGTGGGGTTTCCACGTTTATGAGTGGGGTTTTGGAGGGGGAGTCTCTTCATTTCCCTTCAAACGGACCCATCCCGAGCCGGGTGCCGGGCTCCATTTCGTCGAAGAGCACCACGCTGTAGGGGTGACGCCTCAGGGCCTCACATGGCGGGCCCACAAACGCGGGCCTCGAGTGTGTCTCGGCTTCACTCACTTCCTGATGGTCCCAAAAAAGTGCTTTTGCTAGGTCCTCCAGTAGAGAGGTTAGAATAAGGGTACCCTTTTTCTGTAGTCTATTTTAGTAGGGGAACCCTCCCTCAAACAAGAGGAGCCCGGGAACCCAAAAGCAAACCAGCCTCACCCATGGCATGTGGATCCCGTTGTTTTCCGGCTCAAGGGTCCGAAGGCAAACCAAGATTTAAGTTGTTCACAGTTGGGAAATCAACCCCAAAACAGATGAAGAAGGGGAGCAACCGAGACTCAAGCCGGATTGGCAGCCAGCAGCCTGTGCTCTGACCAAGCACAGAGAAAAAGGCAAAGGCACGGGTGAAACATGACAGGCCCCGCGCTACATGGAAGGCACGAAGTCATCCGATTCATCACGAAGAACCAATCGCAGAAATCCGAAAATGGATCCGCACAAACTACCACTCCCAAATTGGAAGCAAAGCATAAGCTCGCTCTACACCCATCTGAAACAAGTCTGAGACACAGTGTTACAACCCGATCTGAGTAGACCGGGGTCAGCTGTTCGGATGTTCATGCGCCCTTTTGTTTGGGCCGAGTGTGCTCAGCATATTCATGTCAACGTGCTTCCAGGCTGCTTCCAAATAAGTAGGGCGAACCCCAAGAGGCCACAGACTCTGAAGAGAGGGTTCGTCCTAGAAACACATTGGCGCCATTTGTTCGGGTCAGGTGTGCGGCAAAAATAACAATTTTTGGGCGCACCTGGAACGCCGGGCTGTTCACATGGAGCCGTGCACGTGGCCTTCACAAACTTGCTTCGTAAGCTTGCTTGGATTCGTTAGTTTCTCCACCTATTTTCCCATTCGCAACCAATTGCAACTGGTGACTTTGTGGAAAGGGCCGCGCACGTTGTCAATTGGATGCGTGTGGATGGCAAGTTGGGTGGATTCGCCGCAGGTGTGTGGAGACGGGGCCGGCGCTGCGCTTTTGCGGGGGGCTCGGTGTGGACAAGCCTCGGTCACTTGGTGGGTCTGACGGCTGAAGTCTGAGACACAGTTACCACGATCTGCGTAGACCGGGGTCAGCTGTTCGGATGTTCATGCGCCCTTTTGTTTGGGCCGAGTGTGCTCAGCATATTCATGTCAACGTGCTTCCAGGCTGCTTCCAAATAAGTAGGGCGAACCCCAAGAGGCTACAGCTTCTGAAGAGAGGGTTCGTCCTAGAAACACATTGGCACCATTTGTTCGGGTCAGGTGTGCGGCAAAAAGGACAATCTTGGCGCACCTGGAACGCCGGGCTGTTCACATGGAGCCGTGCACGTGGCCTTCACAAACTTGCTTCGTAAGCTTGCTTGGATTCGTTAGTTTCTCCACCTATTTTCCCATTCGCAACCAATTGCAACTGGTGACTTTGTGGAAAGGGCCGCGCACGTTGTCAATTGGATGCGTGTGGATGGCAAGTTGGGTGGATTCGCCGCAGGTGTGTGGAGACGGGGCCGGCGCTGCGCTTTTGCGGGGGGCTCGGTGTGGACAAGCCTCGGTCACTTGGTGGGTCTGACGCCTGTCCGAAACAAGTCTGAGACACAGTGTTACCACGATCTGCGTAGACCGGGGTCAGCTGTTCGGATGTTCATGCGCCCTTTTGTTTGGGCCGAGTGTGCTCAGCATATTCATGTCAACGTGCTTCCAGGCTGCTTCCAAATAAGTAGGGCGAACCCCAAGAGGCTACAGCTTCTGAAGAGAGGGTTCGTCCTAGAAACACATTGGCACCGTGAGTCGGAAGCAGCATTGCAGCGCTGCAGAGCTCGCTGACCACGGGTCTCTCCAACAAGGCAGACCAGTCGGCCTTCGACGTGCTGGAGGGCGTGGTGGCCACGAAGAGCACCCCCGACGGCGTGGACCTGAAGCTGTCGAACTACAGCACCACGGCTGCCATGAACGGCTCCATCGCCTCGGCCAACAACGCCACGCTGGCCACGGTGGCAGCCAACTACGGCCTCAAGACGGTGGTGGACCGGCACTCCCTCGACATCGCAGCAAGGATCACGCCGCTGGAGGTCGACACCAAGGTGGCTAACGCTCTCCTGGGCGTCGTCACCGCCGCAGCGCTGGCCTCCGAGCTCGCAAGTCGAGACGCCTCCATCTCGGGGCTGCAGGCCTCCAATAATTACCTGGAGCGCCGGGCTGTTCACATGGAGCCGCGCACGTGGCGGTTGCCGCATGTCATGAGCGTCCACCGCGCCAGTCTCGCTCGCGGGCGGTTTCCGCATGTCACGAGCGTCCACCGCGCCAGTCTCGCTTGCGGGCGGGCCATCTCGCTCGCGATGTCACGAGCGTCCACCGCGCCAGTCTCGCTCGCGGTTTCCGCCTCTCACGAGCCTCCACCGCGCCAGTCTCGCTCGCTGGCGGTTTCCGCATGTCACGAGCATCCACACGCGCCAGTCTCGCTCGCGGGCGGTTTCCGCATGTCACGAGCGTCCACCGCGCCAGTGTCGCTCGGGGGCGGTTTCCGCCTGTCACGAGCGTCCACTGCGCCAGTCTCGCTCGCGGGCGGTTTCCGCATGTCACGAGCGTCCACCGCGCCAGTCTCGCTCGCGGGCGGTTTCCGCATGTCACGAGCGTCCACCGCGCCAGTCTCGCTCGCGGGCGGTTTCCGCATGTCACGAGCGTCCACCGCGCCAGTCTCGCTCGCGGGCGGTTTCCGCATGTCACGAGCGTCCACCGCGCCAGTCTCGCTCGCGGGCGGTTTCCGCATGTCACGAGCGTCCACCGCGCCAGTCTCGCTCGCGGGCGGTTTCCGCATGTCACGAGCGTCCACCGCGCCAGTCTCGCTCGCGGGCGGTTTCCGCATGTCACGAGCGTCCACCGCGCCAGTCTCGCTCGCGGGCGGTTTCCGCATGTCACGAGCGTCCACCGCGCCAGTCTCGCTCGCGGGCGGTTTCCGCATGTCACGAGCGTCCACCGGTCTCGCTGGCGGGCGGTTTCCGCATGTCACGAGCGTGCACCGCGCCAGTCTCGCTCGCGGGCGGTTTCCGCATGTCACGAGCGTCCACCGCGCCAGTCTCGCTCGCGGGCGGTTTCCGCCTGTCACGAGCGTCCACCGCGCCAGTCTCGCTCGCGGGCAGTTTCCGCCTGTCACGAGCGTCCACCGCAGTCTCGCTCACAAGCGTCCACCGCGTCCGCTCCGCGCCAGTCTCGCTCGCGCGGCGGTTTCCGCATGTCACGAGCGTCCACCGCGCCAGTCTCGCTCGCGGGCGGTTTCCGCATGTCACGAGCGTCCACCGCGCCAGTCTCGCTCGCGGGCGGTTTCCGCATGTCACGAGCGTCCACCGCGCCAGTCTCGCTCGCGGGCGGTTTCCGCATGTCCACCGATGTCACGAGCGTCCACCGCGCCAGTCTCGCTCGCGGGCGGTTTCCGCATGTCACGAGCGTCCACCGCGCCAGTCTCGCTCGCGGGCGGTTTCCGCATGTCACGAGCGTCCACCGCGCCAGTCTCGCTCGCGGGCGGTTTCCGCCTGTCACGAGCGTCCACCGCGCCAGTCTCGCTCGCGGGCGGTTTCCGCATGTCACGAGCGTCCACCGCGCCAGTCTCGCTCGCGGGCGGTTTCCGCATGTCACGAGCGTCCACCGCGCCAGTCTCGCTCGCGGGCGGTTTCCGCATGTCACGAGCGTCCACCGCGCCAGTCTCGCTCGCGGGCGGTTTCCGCATGTCACGAGCGTCCACCGCGCCAGTCTCGCTCGCGGGCGGTTTCCGCATGTCACGAGCGTCCACCGCGCCAGTCTCGCTCGCGGGCGGTTTCCGCATGTCACGAGCGTCCACCGCGCCAGTCTCGCTCGCGGGCGGTTTCCGCATGTCACGAGCGTCCACCGCGCCAGTCTCGCTCGCGGGCGGTTTCCGATGTCACGGCGTCCACCACGCCAGTCTCGCTCGCGGGCGGTTTCCGCTGTCACGAGCGTCCACGCGCCAGTCTCGCTCGCGGGCGGTTTCCGCATGTCACGAGCGTCCACCGCGCCAGTCTCGCTCGCGGGGGGGGGCCGCCTGTCACGAGCGTCCACCGCGCCAGTCTCGCTCGCGGGCGGTTCCGCCTGTCACAAGCCACCGCGCCAGTCTCGCTCGCGGCGGTTTCCGCATGTCACGAGCGTCCACCGCGCCAGTCTTGCTCGCGGGCGGTTTCCGCATGTCACGAGCGTCCCCCACGCCAGTCTCGCTCGGGGGCGGCTTCCGCCTGTCACGAGCGTCCACCGCCCCAGTCTCGCTCGCGGGCGGTTTCCGCATGTCACGAGCGTCCACCGCGCCAGTCGTCCACCGCGCCAGTCTCGCTCGCGGGCGGTTTCCGCCTGTCACGAGCGTCCACCGCGCCAGTCTCGCTCGCGGGCGGTTTCCGCATGTCACGAGCGTCCACCGCGCCAGTCTCGCTCGCGGGCGGTTTCCGCATGTCACGAGCGTCCACCGCGCCAGTCTCGCTCGCGGGCGGTTTCCGCATGTCACGAGCGTCCACCGCGCCAGTCTCGCTCGCGGGCGGTTTCCGCATGTCACGAGCGTCCACCGCGCCAGTCTCGCTCGCGGGCGGTTTCCGCATGTCACGAGCGTCCACCGCGCCAGTCTCGCTCGCGGGCGGTTTCCGCATGTCACGAGCGTCCACCGCGCCAGTCTCGCTCGCGGGCGGTTTCCGCTGTCACGAGCGTCCACCGCGCCAGTCTCGCTCGCGGGCGGTTTCCGCATGTCACGAGCGTCCACCGCGCCAGTCTCGCTCGCGGGCGGTTTCCGCATGTCACGAGCGTCCACCGCGCCAGTCTCGCTCGCGGGCGGTTTCCGCATGTCACGAGCGTCCACCGCGCCAGTCTCGCTCGCGGGCGGTTTCCGCATGTCACGAGCGTCCACCGCGCCAGTCTTGCTCCCGGGCGGTTTCCGCATGTCACGAGCGTCCACCGCGCCAGTCTCGCTCGCGGGCAGTTTCCGCATGTCACGAGCGTCCACCGCACGAGTGCGGTTTCCGCATGTCACAAGCGTCCACCGCGCCAGTCTCGCTCGCGGGCGGTTTCCGCAAGTCACGAGGGTCCACCGCGCCAGTCTCGCTCGCGGGCGGTTTCCGCATGTCACGAGCGTCCACTGCGCCAGTCTCGCTCGCGGGCGGTTTCCGCATGTCGCGAGCCTCCACCGCGCCAGTCTCGCTGGTTTCCGCATGAGCGTCCAGCGGTTTCCGCATGTCACGAGCGTCCACTCTCCAGTCTCGCTCGCGGGCGTTTTCCGCATGTCACGAGCGTCCACCGCGCCAGTCTCGCTCGCGGGCGGTTTCCGCATGTCACGAGCGTCCACCGCGCCAGTCTCGCTCGCGGGCGGTTTCCAGCCAGCCTCGCGCGCCCAGTCTGCACCACACCGCCGTCCCCCCAGCCAGCCAGTCTCGCTTGCGGGCGGTTTCCAGCCACGCCCAGTCTGCGTCCCCGCAGCCAGCCAGTCTCGCTCGCGGGCAGTTTCCAGCCAGCCTCGCGCACCCAGTCTGCACCACACCGCCGTCCCCCCAGCCAGCCCCCCCACACCGCCGTCCCCCCAGCCAGCCTCGTACGCCCGGTCTGCACCCCCAGCCGGCATCGCACGCCCGGTCTGCAGCACAACGAAATGGAAATCCCTTCTTATCTCCGTCGTCACAGCTTGTATCGCTCCCAGGCACCTTAAGAGAAAACCTAAAGCAGAACCCAAGCATCAGAGATGCTTTTGGGAAAAAGGGTAAAAGGGCACCACTGGGGGACCTAGTTTGTTTTGTATACCACTGAAATGATCCAAACCCAGAAAGTGACTAAAGTCCAGTCAGGAACTGAGTTCAAGGGAAACCACCTCCAAAAGTTTGGAGAACTGCCGCTTTGTACTTTCACCCTATTCCCTTGCTCAAAGTTCAGGAATCCCTATAGACTTCGAAGGTCCCCAAGTCTTCAAAGAACGAGGCTGGAAGTTCCGCCAATCTGCGTCGGTCTAAGAAGTGCACACAACACGAAACTGCAGCAATAAATTGTGTAGACACAATCTTTCTAGGGGTACCTTCCCTATTCTTTCCAGAGATCCTTCTTTCTAGAAAACCTCCGGAGAACACGGCTGGTTTTTGGAAAGAACGACGCTTGAAAAGGATGGGGAATCAAACCCAAGAACAACGTGTTTCGCATTCGGAGATCGCCTTCGGGCGTCTCGAACAAATCCTTTTTTGGCTTTTTATTTTTCCTTTTTTTCCGAGGGCCCAGCCCTACATCGTAGGTCGAAAGACCAAACCCTTCTCCCCAGAAACCGGAAGCCCTGCAACTGCTGAAGCCACCAAAAGCTGCCAAACCCCCAACCAAAAGACACTAAACCCCCCGAGGCCAAAACAAAAATCAGAAAAAAACAAGGCTGCCAAAGCCCAAGGGTCGGCCAACAGCCTCCAAAGTCTCCAAAACTCCCCCAATAATCCCTAACACGCCCCAAACTCATCAAAAACAACATACATATATATATATATGTATATAACAAAAGAAAACGGAACCACAGAGCCCGCAAGGCCCGACAACCCCCAGCAACGCGAAAACCTCACCACCACCCCTTCAAAAAACAAAAGTTTTACAAAGCCCACCAACATCCACCAACGCTCTCCAAAAAAAACATTAAACACAAAACAAATCCAAAGCCCCCAAAGCCCCCACACCCTAACCCCTCCAGCCTCAGTGAGCTGACCACCCTGCTCATGGCCCACATAGCCCGGGGGCGCCCCAATGAGGCGTGCCACGGCATGCTGCTCCATGTACTCCGACATGTCCTCGGAGAGCTTCCGTCAAAAGGGATCTGCGCCCAAATGCCCATGCGTCAAAACCCCACTAATCCCCAGTGAACATTCCAATCCCCACTAAAATAGGTTCTAAAACGGGTGGTGCATCTTTTGACCCACAGCCAAATACCAACCAGAGGTCGATGCTGCTTAAGCTCCTGGTTTGTCAATATCCCTCACAATCAAAACCTGGTGGGGGAAGGGTGTTCTCATGTACGTAGCCCGAATAGAATTGAAGCAAAGGGGCTTGGGTATGTGCCTGGACCAAGCAGGTACCTTTTCCTTTGCCTCCTTGGTTTGCTTTGCGGTGAGGGAGCTCTAAGGTTTGATTCCTTGTCCATTCTCTTCAGCCGTCCTCTTTAGAAACCAACCATTTTTCAAGGGTTTGGCCCCCTTTTTGTTGAAGGTTCCGTGAAGAGAATAGGGAACATACAGCTAGAGGAGCATTGGCTTTGAGACAGAAAACAGCTCAACAGACGAGCTCCTCATCTCAGCCCCAAGTCCTCAAGCTTTTGGCAAGCTGCGATACCAACTTCTCGAACAAGAAGGACTTCCAAGAATGCCCTTTTGGTTTCCCAAGATGCCAAGCTCAAAAAGGGACCCTTAAAAACAAAAACGACGTGCTGGAAGTTTGACTTGAGATGCGTCCGACGCCGCAGCCCCATGTCGTGCAGAAGGAGCTGTTCATGGGATAGATGGAAGAAGAAGAAGAAGAAGAAGAAGAACTACAAACACACAAAACGCACGTCTCTTGGCACTTGAGGAGGCAAAGGATGTTGCTTCCGATGCGCTTTCACCGTGAATACGGCGCATCACCCAACCAAATAGCTGCTAGAAAATCCACACGTGCATGATTGGCATGTGATACGAGCTGGAACCTGTTCGCTACCTATTTTGTCTGAAAGATCATCCCCCAGCGGCTCCGGAAACTGCACTGGCCAGCCCAACAAAAGGAATCACCTAACTGGGCTGCCCGTTTTCAGATCCCCCGCTCAAAAGTGACTAACTTTTAGTGGGTTGAATTCGGAAACCACCACTAAACACTAAAAGGATCTCAAAAGCTCAGGGACCGGATGGCTGGGAGCTGCCAAGCTAATTGATCACGGGCTGACGGTGTGTGGCGCTCGAATCGGCTCCGAATCGGCCCGAGGGGCGAAACGGATCATCTTGGTCTCGCTGTCGAAGAGCTCCGATGCCAAAGCCTGGCGGAGAGACCCTATCAGGCTTGGTTTGGAGCCGAACCGCTGGTTTGGTGTCCCGGGGCGTCCCACGTACCCCACAACATGAAGGGATACCAAGGGGAGAACTTGGGCCCCTGGCAGATGAAAAGAAAAACCAATACCAATTGTCTCCCCTTGTGATTTTTAGACGCCGGTTCAGAGCAACCTTGTATATCCTTGGCGGACATTTTCACGTGCCCCGGAAACTGCAGTTTGGCCGCACCCATCAACCAAGGAGCTCTAAAAGGGCTGTGTCCTCTCTGTGTCCTCTACCGAGGAAACCATTTGGGGGGCCTCCAAACAGACGCCAACTCCCTTCCTGAGTGGATGCGCCCAAACAAAGACAAACACTTCTTGCCTGCCACAAGAAATGGTCCAGACCCAAAAGGTGATCAAAGTCCATGCACTCGGAAGTGAGCCAAAGAGAAAGCTCCAAAGTTTGACTTCGTCATCGACTTGGCTCACCTTTCCCGACCGACACGGACGCTGCCTTTGCCAGTTCGGTCTTGCCAACCCCCGTGGGTCCGGCAAAAAGGAAGGAGCCTGGCGTGCGAACCACGATCATTCGCACCCTGTAAGGAATCAATCCCCAAGAAAAGAAAAACTTGCTGATGCGATGGGCAGGGAATGAGAAACGTAATGACCCAAAGAAAATCAAGAAAACCATCCCCGATTTGGTTCCTTTCAGGGAATCCTGAGCACCAACAAGAAAACATCACCATGGGTGTTGGGTCGCAAAGACTCTTTGCGATGCTATCACTTGCCCCCTTGGAGTACCCATGCTTCCTGACCTGCGACGTTGGCTAAAGTCAAGACAGCTACACGACCCAGCGGGCGAGCTTCTGGAATGGCGTTCCAGCCATAGGAACCATGATGGACAGCAAATCAATACGGACCCCAAAAGGAGGACGGTTCGAAAAACGACGGCTTTTCGGGTTCCATGCTAATCTGCAGTAGTGTACGTGGCTGCATTCTTCTCACGCTTCTGATCTTCCATCCCCTGAAACTGATTTTCCTTCAAAAGTTGCAAAATGATGGATGGGCTTCATTGAAGCGATCCGCCGCTTTTGTAGGTTCAAAAGCGGGAAACGGAGGACCCCCGCTGGTAGATATCTATCTCTCAAAAGAGAAGAGATGCCGCATTTCACCTCTCTGGTGGAAATCACACATGTCTCCCGATATAAATACCCTCCCTCTTGCTCTTTGCACTTCTCGGAGGCTCGCCCGCCCGCCTGTGGGCTGATTCCTCCGTGACAGCCGGGCCGCGCTGCGGAGGATCGCACGAGCCACCGCTGCGGTGGCTTCCTCCTGACGCGTCGAGTCGCGTAGAATGCGCGGGTGGCTGCGGTTCAAAAACTGGTACCCCAAACGGGACCTGGGATTGTGGTAATGTTGACCCAGGATTGATAGACCCGTCCCATTATTAGGGGGGTGTTCCCTCCAAAAGTGATGAATCCCCACTAAAAGGGGATACCCCCCTATTAATCAACCAGGGGTTTATTAATCCGGGGTTAACATTTTGGCTGTGGGTCAAAACCAATGGGATACCATTTTGGGGTAGGTGCACCACCCATTTTAGAACCTATTTTAGTGGGGATTGGGATGTTCACTGGGGGTACGGGATTTTGGTTTGACCCATGGCCATATGGGAACGTAGACGAAAACCTGCGCAACCCCAGCTGTTCAATTTTGGGCCACACCCAATTAACTAGTTCTGTGTGAAACAACAACCTGTCTCCCTTCTGCCTTCTTGCTCACTGCTGGGGAAGAAACCGCCGCAAGGACCACACACACACACACACAACTGCGTCCGAAAATCCTTTGGCGAGGCACACTCAACGAAAACTAGGAACACAGCTGCAAACGTTCTCTCTGTTTTGGGATCTTGCAAATAAATCCCTTTGACCTTGCTCTCAGGGTCTCTTATCTCTGTCATCAGCATATTGGACGGGCTTTCGAATGGCTGTCTATGTTCAAGGATTTGCCGACGGGAGACATTGTGTCCACGAGAGATAAAATGCTTCTTGGATTATTTCTTCCTTGGCAGTCAATGGTTAAGAATTCTTGGCTATGTACGACTAGCTGCACAATCCTTGATGTCTGCTGGTTTCTTTCAATTTCAGTCCTTCTCTTATGTTAACGTCTAACAAAACCTAGGGGCCGGAAGGCTACAACGACATCCCCCTAGCTTAAGGGGGAGGAGGGCGGGGGTTCCCCAATTCCATTTTTCCAGCCCTCCCCATAAAAGGAAACTTTAAAAACACAAATGGAGTTCCAAGGTTCACCCCCCTCCCTCAATTCATTTTTTCAAGGGGGCGATACAACAAAATGAACCGAGAGTGAAGCTTGAGGGCTGATAGTTCACTTTGGGGTGAAATAGCATGTGTTCATATGATGCGTGTAATATATATATATATATATATATGTACACATAAAACATATGCAAGGGTGGAATAGCATGTGTTCATATATACCATAACATATATATAAATATATAGATCGACTCTTTAACGGCTTCTCCGACGCGCCATGCGTGCGCTCGATGGCTGCGATCGGCGCCTGGCCGACCACTCGCTTGTTCAGCTCCTTCTGGAGGTTCAGCAACCTCGCACGGCTTGAATCACTTGGACTGCATGGTCCAAAAACGCAAGACACGTCTATATATATATATATATGGGTGGCTCGTCTTTTTTAAAGGTCCCCCCAAAAAAAGGAAACAAGAAGAAGAAGAAGAAGAAGAAGAAGAAGTGGTTTTCGTGTTGGTTTCGCTTTGAATACAGCAACAAGGGGTACCCTTTAAAAAGTACAGACCCATAAAATATAAATATCAGTGCTTCTTGATGGATGTGCGCAAATGTGCCACTGTACATGTGTGCTTTTTCATCTTTCCTTGCAATCTGGTGAGTTCCGCTAAGACAGCATAAGAAAGACACAGGAGGGGGGAAAAAAGGGAGGGCGGGAGGGAGGGAGGGAGGGAGAAAGGGAGGGAGAGAGAGAGGGGAGGGAGGGAGGAAGGCAGAGAGGGAGGGGAGGGAGGGAGGGAGGGAGGGAAAAAACAAGAGAGAAGAGGCAAGCAAGCAAGCAAGCAAGCAAGCAAGCAAGCAAGCAAGCAAGCAAGCAAGCAAGCAAGCAAGCAAGCAAGCAAGCAAGCCGGATCAAGCAAGATCAAGCAAGACCAAGCAAGATCAAGCAAGATCAAGCAAGATCAAGCAAGATCAAGCAAGATCAAGCAAGATGAAGCAAGATGAAGCAAGATCAAGCAAGATCAAGCAAGATCAAGCAAGATCAAGCAAGATCAAGCAAGATCAAGCAAGATCAAGCAAGATCAAGCAAGATCAAGCAAGATCAAGCAAGATCAAGCAACATCAAGCAAGATCAAGCAAGCAAAAAAGCTGGATCAAGCAAGATCAAGCAAGATCAAGCAAGATCAAGCAAGATCAAGCAAGCAAAAAAGCTGGATCAAGCAAGATCAAGCAAGATCAAGCAAGCAAATAAGCCGGATCAAGCAAGATCAAGCAAGACCAAGCAAGATCAAGCAAGATCAAGCAAGATCAAGCAAGATCAAGCAAGATCAATCAAGCAAGCAACTGAGCCAGATCAAGCAATCAAACAAGATCAAGCAAGATCAAGCAAGATCAAGCAAGATCAAGCAAGATCAAGCAAGATCAAGCAAGATCAAGCAAGATCAAGCAAGATCAAGCAAGATCAA